AGAAAAGCCGGCCTCAGCGAACAGGAAACCTGAGCCGACGGGTTTACGAGAGGTACCCATACAAGACGCCGAAGTAATGCCGGTCGGAGAACCGAAGAAGAAAAGGCGTAGGGACCGAAAGAAGCGGAATATGAAGAATTTGACGCGGGAAAAGAGTGGACCCCAGAAGAAGTTGGCTGCCCCCTGCAGGAAGACGTCCTATCGCGCGACAGTGGCACGACGTTGGAGAAATGCCTTCAAGAAGGAAACTCCCCAAGGGAACCTTCGGATGCCGGACAGAGGACTTGGCGCCACGGTCTCATGCCGGCAAGTGGCGGGAAGACCAGGAGGAACGACGACGTCAGTCAGTGCAAACAACGCATCAAGGCCTGTTACGTCGACATAAGGAACTTCTCATGGAAGACATAAACAAAGACTGGACACTGTGGAAGTGTCGACCGCCTCCAAAACGGAAAAGAAGACTTCAAGCAGAGGAGGAACCGGTAATGTAGAAGAACCGGCCTCCCCAGAGAGAGTGAATGTGCCATAGAATGAAAGTAATGGATGAATGGGACACAACTGGATCTTCTGGTGAGCTGAAAGGAAACCGCTCGAGACGAGCAGGTCTTAAGAGGGGAGCGGTTGTAACAGCCGGAGAACAATCACTGCAAGGAGTAGCCCAAATACCAGGAGACCCAAAAAGAACAGCCTCCAAAGAAAAGGAATGGGATGCACCGTTAGGCTATTCGGGACGAACAGCCTTAAGGAGGGAGCAGTGTGACATGTTGTGCAATGAAGGACCCCTACCTCCCCAGCAGCACGTGGCGGTAACATAGCGCTCGCGTAATAGGTGAGTCATCACCCCGCCACTGTCCCCGTGGTGACATCACGAGCAGAGCCGAAGTGAGCCGAGCGGAGCCAAGGTTAGCCGAGCCCCCGCAACCTGGTAGCTATGCAATGCGAGTCAACAGCGGTGACGTAACAGGATGACGTGGCACTCATTACGCAACAGGCAAGCACTGCGGCTATATAAGTGAGCTGCACAGCAGCTGCGAGTTAGTCATAATGAGGCCATCGCCGAGGTTAGTTCCGAGCAAGCCTACAAGCGAGTGTTTTATCAATGAGTTCTCAGTTCGCAAGTTACGAGTTGCAGACGTGTGTGCGATAACTAAGAAATTAGCGAGCGGAAGACTTATTGTGTGCTTTCGAGACTTAGTGAGTGCTGTAGTACAGTTATATTTGGAGTGTGTAATTCAGGGAGATTTCTATAGCTCCCGCGTTATTAGTACGTGAAGACTTTGGTTGTAGGGTTTGTAAAGTGTGGAAACCCACAACTGTGTTATAATTAATTGTAGCTGTTTCTTGTAGATTGTTGAATAAACCAATTAACGATCTCTACGGCATATTCAGTAACGAAACACTTTACAATATAATTAAGTCAGTTATTAATGTTTTTATCTATTTTTGGGACAGCTATATACCTTGAAAATCTTGTCTCCTATAGTGATGATGTGCTCAGTGTAATTATATTCACTTGTACAACATTGTTTCCTTGACAGTACCACCAAGCATCTATCCTCCTGAAGATGAAATCCACATATTGAATGCAACTCAGTCACTTTCCTTAAGCTGCTTTGCTTCTGGTTATCCTCGTCCGCAGATTCGCTGGGAGAAAAATGGCAACGATATCAGCAACAACACACACATAAGGTATGTTCTGTGTGTGTTAAAGTCAGTGTAATATTAATAAGATCCAAAAGTTTGTGATGATAGTACATTAGTACAAATATTATGTTTCTGGACTTTATCAATCATCCTGTTTATATTTTAAAACACCAGTACCATTTGATCAGCGAACCCAGCTTGGATATCTATCCCATCTGGACTCCCGTTATCAAAGCACAAGTCAAAAAACTAAACTCCGTCCAGTGTGGATTGAGTGGAAAGTTCGTTTTTCTTGTGATGGTACCAAATGGAGTATTTCATCTCCCCAGTGATGATTTATATCTTGATAGTTCTCTGGTGCAAGGCCTCATACATGTACAGTTTTAACATTTGAATGTTTTGTCTTAGCTCTCATAGATGGTTTGTGCTCTGCTTGGCTTGTATACCCCAATACCCCATCTTGGTGCTGGTACAGGTGTCCAGAGATAGGGAACGATCTTAAGTGATTGGGCCCAACTGGGTATGTTTTGCCTGAAGATGGAGACATAATCCATTCTCAAAAATGTCAAAAACAAACAATGAAAGTGTTATAAAAAAATAAACAGGATGGTGTTTTTAGATAAAAAGAGCATGATGGATAATGTCCAGAAACATAATATTTGTTCAAGGAAATATTTTCTACATAATGGTGTGCAACAGATTTATAAAGAACTTATACAAATGGAAAAGTAATACATAAATTATATCAAGAATTATAATATTTGTAATATAAATTCTAGTACAGTAGAACTTGGTTATAACATCATCAAAGGGACCTAAAAATAGTGTCGTTATAAACGAATGTCGTTGTAACCGAAATGGGCACTTCCACAGTTATGTTAGTCACGTAAAAATCTACCAAAAACCGAGTTAAAATGTTGCATTTTTTAGTGAAATACGTAGTTAAGTACAGACTAACGTAACATTAACGTGGAATTGCTATGGATTCTCCATATCGTTTGTACTGTAGAATTCACCAAACCAAATTCGTGGCATACATCAGCTTTTTTCCTTCTATTTTCTATTTCACGAATCACTTTAACTTTCTCTTCAATGCTTAAAATTTTCCTTTTCATTGCCATGTTTTCGCTACTGCACTTCTCTGGGTTTAGGCAAGAACACTATAGGGTAAGTAGACAATGTGAGGTCCTGTTAGATGAGATTCTAGGAAAGGAATGCAGTTAACAACCTGCCGCGTCCTCTTGCACTATTCACGCAGTCCCACCCCACACCCTTGTTTTCGCATAAAACCCACGCTCCTCTTGCAACCCGCGGTCGTATTCTTCCAGGACAGTCACGTCAGCAAGTAGAGAAAGTGAGGGTGGGCAGACACATCGAACTTTCCCACGATATCAGAGAAATTCAGGAATGAAAATGACGTTACATACGAGGTTGATGCATTTGTGCATGTCGTACTAAGCAAGGTATAAAAACAGTTGCTTTATGAGGAATTAGTTCGTACCATTGAATATTTCACGCAATAGACAAGGTGTCGCAGAAACTGATGTTGCTATAACCAAGTTTTACTGTATTTCCATTGAGATGACAGTTAACATTGTAGTCTTCTGCATTGTGACACCATGTAGTCTTGTAACATTTTGGAGGAACTGCTTCCCTCTTCGTGGTCAAGGTGTGTAGGTTATAGAGACAGATTACAAAGAAAGGTCTGAGGAAATGGAGTCCAGTCCAGCCCATTGGGAATGATGGGTAGGAAAAAAACCCCTTTTTGGGGACATACATGTATTAACCTCTTGTGTCATAGGTGGGAAATGGAATGTTATAATCTCCAGCCATAACAAATTTCACATTTCTGGTTTTTCAGTTACCAATATATTAACACATAGTGTTATTTTTGTAGTTGTTGCTGCTTATGTTATTTAGAATTACCGTGACACGGTTCAAACTGTGATCTCTTTGGGTTGTGACACTCGAGGCCTCCAGCTTCAAGGTTGACCCTGAAGTTGCAGGCAACAGGTTCCTCCTAAATATTGATGCCTTTCTATCAAACTTCATGGTGCCACACTTCACAAATAGTAATCTTCGCTGAACCAAATATAGGTATTATACAGTTCTGTGATCTGATAATTGCAAATAATAATAATAATAATAATAATAGTAAATCTATTTGAATAAAATATTTTAGTGCAAATGAAGACGGAATTTTGAATATAAAAAACATTCAACCCACCATGGCTGGAGTGTATGTCTGTGATGCAGAAAATGCAGGTGGAATAATGCAGAAGATATTCTACCTCATCGTCCATGGCAAGTAAATAATTCTGTGTGTGTTGTAAGAGTAACATAAATTATTTTGGTTTAACAATTTTGGAACAAAAGTATCCCACTGAACCCTTTACTTCAATCCTCATCACCATTAATTTTTTCTTCTTCTTTTGGTCGGTTATTTAACGACACTTTCAGTTCAACACTGTGAAGCATTGGATGGTAGGTGGATAAATTGGAAAGGATTTGAAACGAAGTAGATATAGACTAGTTGAGGTACTATCCCAGCATTTTACTGATGAACCTGAGGAAAGCAGTGAAACCTCACATACAAGATAGGTGGTATCCCAGCCAAGATTTTAACTGAGCACATCCTGGGCACAAGTCAAGAGCATTAGCACTAGACCAATGTGTGCAGTTCTTGTTACCAGATCCTATTTAATATTATCACAACTGCCACCATGGCAGTTCACAAAGTGGCACTGAGGCAGGATTTCTCTAGGTACTTTACTTTTCCCTTCCAATTCTCATTCCACCATCTGCTCCACATTCATTTATCTTCTGTTGTTGATGCTATGTAAGAGCCAGGATAGCACAGTCAGTATAGCAACTGCCTACAGACTGAACAATGGAGAGGTTTAACTTCAAGTCCCAGTAAGGTCAGTCAAGAATTTTCTCTTCTTTACTTGCCTCTGGGGCCCACCCGGCCTCCCATCCAATGGGGCTCTTTCCCCAGGATTAAAGCAGCTGGGGCATGAAGCTGACCACTTACCTCCACCTAGTGGTGAGGTCAAGAAAATGTGAATCTATACATCCATTCCCTCATATGCCTTCATGGCGTAGTGCTTAATTAGTTAATTAGTTAAGCACAGGGATGACGCTACCTTTTACTAACAGTATCCTTAAATAACCAATTAAAAAGCCCCCACTCCTCTTCTTGTGTGGTCTTCCAGCTGCCCTCTTATGAAGAGGTTATCCCTAGGAAACCTTATTTCTTGTGTTGCCCATCCATACTGCATAATATCTTATCCCCCCTCACTCAGTAATCAGAACTCGTAGAAGGACGTAGATGTTGGCATTTCTCATGATGTGATGTTCTTCAAATACATTATCACTTTGGTCAGAATATTTTTCAGGATGCTTGTCCTAAAATTCATATGTTTTTCACCCAGGCCAGGAGACTAGGTTATAGTGACTAAACTATATGTTAGATGATTGAGAAGTCAGTGTTCAGTTCACAGCATGGGTGGAGATGTTTCTCATCTCCACGGTGCCCAGACTTGCCCACCAAGTATCCTATCCCATGTTGATCAGGGCTCCTTCCCAGGAGAAATTAAACTGACCACTCACCTTCATGTAATGTCAAATTATACCTCAGCTACCCCATATGTCTTCATAGCATGGTACTTACTTAGCACAGGGACAACTTTACATTACTTTATTGGTCAGTGGACAGAATAATTGCTCTATATATTTCAATCTTCTTTCATCTGGAAAGAAAATATGAGGGAGAGTCAGTAAATAGGGCACAAATAGAAGTAAAACAGTTGTAATGGACATAATAGACGTAATAGATTCTCTATGTGTATCACTAGGTAGCAGCACAGTCCGGCTGCATGACAGTCTAAGTAGGAAATGCACATGTGCAAGTTTGTAGCCTGGTTTCAGTAGTCAGAATGGTGGCCATGCTTGAGGATTGTCCTAAGGGAGAGCAGCATCCTGCTGTGCGTTTTTCTTGTAGACTGAAGGACTCAATGAAAAGGATATTCATAAAGAAACTTTCTGCTTATGGTGGGCATTATCTGTCATATAAAGCAGTTCATAACTGGGTGGCAAACATTTTGCTGATGATGGGAGGTGGGGAAGTGGCTGAGACAACAGTCAAAAGACTTCTAAGCGATGAGATAAGTGTATCAATGTTGGTCGCGGATATGTCAAAAAATAATTTTTTTCCCCAGGTTTGAATATCACGTTCTTTATGTTTTATATCCATTTGTGACATATTTACAGACTCTTTCTCATAAGACAATAAGAGTTTTTAAGCTTATCAGAACAGCCCTTCTCAGAACCTGAAAATTCTTCACTTCTCTCTTGTTATTATGTTTATATTTTAACATCTATGGTGTTATTAGTGACAATACATGAGCATCTGTGTGATAACCAGATCTTAATGAGGTGAACATTGTTGAACAGTACCACCAAGTATCGAAGTGGACTTTCCAACACAAGTACAACTAATAGAAGGCGATGACTATTCCTTGCCCTGCTCAGCACGTGGGACACCAAGTCCTGAAATCAGTTGGAGAAGAGATGGACTGTCTGTCATCGGGCATAAAGATGGTAAAGGCATTTAATTCATTCAGGAAAAAAAATTGTAATATGACACCATATATTCTGCTAGATAATTACCAATGTTTTGGAGGAAACAGCTGCTTCCATCTTCTGCCTCCGAAGATTGGGGCAGTGGGTTAATCTGAAACATCAGTAGGGATGTACAAAATTATGCAGTGTCATATTCTAGAACACAGCTTGATTTTCAGTCACTGCCATGAGAACGTCTCATGCACTGTAGAAACTCCTTCCCATCAGAATTCACTGGAATTATGGTTCATAACTTTTATCAAAACAGAAGGAGCCATTCACAGTATTGTGACATGTCAACCTGTTGCTCCGGTCGCCACATCTATTTTCCTGCTCGCTTCAACATCTGAGCAACCATCTTTGTGGGGGGGGGGAGCTGATGTGAGAACCTCCCACATTCTAACACACAACTTCACCAATCTAACAGTCAATTCCCACAATTTAACAGGACAAGGTGATATTTATACATCACATTTTGCAGCCTGGCTCACTAGACACTAACATAAATGCTATCCAATCAGAGCACATAGTTGCAGCTCCATTGCCAGCTGGTCCACGCACTGCGTAGCAGCATAAGTATAAAGTTACGGGCCTCAGGCATGCCAGCATCAGTTACGGATACACTGCCAGCAAAAGCACCACACCGACTCTGCTAGTGCACGCACCATAGACAGCCTACTTTACTGACGCATGCACCATGGCTCCACTAGTCAGTCAGACTCGCTACACTCGCTACTATCGCTTCAACTCAACTCACAATTGCCGAGCTGCAGCAAGGAGAAACACTGGGCTGCTACAAGCAAGACGCGGGGCAGCAAAAAAGAACATCAGGCTCCTGCAAAGAAGACGCAGCTAGACAAACGGCCCTTTAAGGCCTGCACTTGGCACCGTCATCACCCGACCATACTAGTCACTACTAAAGGAGTCTCCATCAACGTTGTTCAGGCACACTCCCTGCTTTAAGTGCAGTGAGCATTTATTGTTATAGTTATGTGGTTGTCTCAGTAAGTATCGACATCCCACACTACCATTTTGGAGGAACATGGTTCCACCATCTTCGTTAGTAACTAAATATTGTAACGTGTTTCGTTACCGAAGACGCCGTAGAGATGGTTAATTGGTTTATTCAACAATCTACAAGTAACGGCTACAATTAATGATAACACTGTTACGGGTTTCCGCTCTTTACAAACCCTACAACAAAATCTCTTAACACTATCTTCAAGAGTCTTCATGTATTAATAACGTGGGAGCTATACAAATCTCCCTGAATTACACACTCCAAGTATAACTGTCCTACAGCACTCACTAAGTCTCGAAAGCACACAATAAGTCTTCCGCTCGCTGACTCCTTAGTTATCGCACACTCGCAGGCTGCTACCTTGAGAACTGTTGATAACACACTCGGCGACTGTCACATTACAACTGACTGGTTGCTGGCTAACTCGGAACTAACTCGGCGGTAGCTCCAGGACTCACTCGGAGGTAGCTCCAGGACTAACTCGGAGGTAGCTCCAGGACTTAACTGTGAATAGCCTTCGCTGCTCCTCATGTAGCCTCGATCGGACAATACAGAAAACGGCCACGTAATAAGCACCCTTGTTGCCTGGCGCTATGTTGCTAGTAACGCTAGCGGTAGTAACCGCTGTTACCACCGTCGTCTCTCGCAATCCTGTTTACCCGTGCTGCCCTTGGTGACGTCATCGCTGTTGACTCGCGTTGCCTAGCGACCAGGATGCTAGGACTCGGCTCACTTCGGCTTCGCTCGGCGCATCACGGCTGGCGGGGGGGGGTCATCCATAGCTCAACATGTCACACTATGTACCAGACTACATGGCATGACATCTCAGAAAAATGTACCACCATGAGAGAACTTCAGACCTCACACGAAACTATTGTTTTCCATCATTCTGTTTCAGAGCATGTGATGGTATTAGAAGATGGAACCCTGGTAATCACATCTGCTACCCTCAACACAACTGGAATTTACACTTGTGTAGCAGAAAACACAGAGGGGAGTGACCAGCAACACTTCCTTATCGAAGTTTTAGGTGGGTTCCCAAAGTGATGAGAACAGACATATAAATTTCATTCCAGTCATTTATCACTACGTTAATTCATATTGCCATTTTATTAGTGGTGATATAGTTTTATAGTAAACAGAAATGAAACACTGTTAATTCTACTCAACTAAAATAGTTTTAAATAAGTGTCCTCAAGTCGTTGAACAATGAATTGCAAAGAACACAAGTCGACTGTTATTTTCCTTTTGTTGATGTATTTTGATTTACATATTATAACTATAGCTGTATGCTGTACACTGTCAAGATTTGCCATGTGTGATATATCAGTAGATAACCCATTAAGTGTTCGTGGGAAATGCCATGGACAGGGAGAAATGTGTATATGCCTATTTTAGCAAATGGTGCAGAAACATTAACAGGGAAAAAAAATTGTGCTAACAGCAGCCGAGTTCAGATATTAAAGAAAGGAGAGAAAGGTAAGATAGGAAAGGAAAATCTCTCTCTCTCTCTCTCTCTCTGTATCTGTCTCTATGGCCCTACAGCTCTTTGGACCTTGGCCGCTTTTTCAGTTTCTTAACCCTGTACACAGTCAGTAGGACCCCTTGGATGGGGATCAGCCCCTTGCAAGGCCACTACCTACACACAAAACAATACAGACAGAATAAACACACCCTGACATGCGCACCTCAAGTGGGATTCGAATCCACGATTCCAGTGTTTGAGCAGGTGAAGACAGTTCATTCCTTAAACCTCTTGGCCACTGTGATCGGCTCAAAATGCAAATACTAGACAGAATTTAAATATAAATACATTGGAACATAAATAAATAAATAAATAAATAACAGAATAAGATGGTATGAGAATACATAGGGCAGTCAAAAAGTTCCCGGAATTCCCCTGCAGATGGAGAACAAGTGATAAGAAAGCGCACACACTGTTGTGGGGGGAGCTCAGCATGTCAGCTCACAGGCGCAACAGGTCTGGATAGGTTTCAGTGTGCAGTGTCGTTACTGTTCCATTTGAATTAGACGTGAGTGTTGGTCATTCGGCGCAATGTTGCAGTTTGAACAGCATGCGAACATCAAGTTCATCTGCAAATTGGGAAAATCTGCTTCAGAGATGCAGTTGGCCCTGCAGCAAGTTTATGGTGATACGGCACTAAAGAAATCCACAGTTTATGACTGGTTTTCCCGGTTTAAGAATGAGCAGGAGACGTTAGAGGATGATGAGCACAGTGGGAGACCTTTGACATTCAGAACTGAAGAAATGATTGGAAAAGTGCAACAACTGATTCGATGTGATCGAAGAATGACCATCACGGAGTTGCAGCAAGAAGTTGGTATCTCTCACGGATTCATTCATGCCATTTTGTTGGATGATTTGAAGATGAAACGCATCAGTGCGAAGTTTGTTCCGAGGCAGCTGACCACAGATCAGATGGAATGTCACATGATGGTCGCTGGCGATCTGTTTGACAAAAGTATGCAGGACCTGACATTTCTCAAAAAGATCGTCACTGGTAATGAGTCATTGGCATTCGCCTACAACCCGGAAATGAAGATGCAGTCATTGGAGTAGCACACAGTGTTGTCTTCCCAGCCAAAAAAATCATGCCTCAACAGATCCAAAGACAAAGTGATACTCATTGCATTCTTGGACATTGACAGTTTGGTGCACCATGAGTTCATACCACCTGGACGTACTGTTACTGGCCATTTCTACATGCAAGTCTTGCAGAGGTTGCGCAGTGCAGTTCAGAGGAAACAGTGTGACAGGTGGCAGGGACAGTGGTTTCTGCATCACGATAACATATTGAGCCACACATCGCTTGTGCAGCAATTCCTCGCCGAGAAAAACATTCCTGTCTTCACTCAACCACTGTACTCTCCGGATCTCGCTCCGAGTGACTTTCGGTCTACTCTGAAAATGGGCCTCAAGGGGACATGTTTCACAACCATGGAGGACATCAAATCGAATGTGATGGCTGAGCTCCGGAAGATTCCAAAAGAAGCCTTCCACCACTGCCTCCAACAATGGCAGGATCGATGGAGCAAGTGTGTGTGCGTGCAAGGATCCTACTTTGCAGGTGATTAGTTAAGCGTTGCTGTATGTCCTACCATTAGAGTGCTATACCACCAATTCAGGGAACTTTTTGACTGCCCCTCATATTTTAAGAACGAATAAAAGATGAAATCTCAAAGAAGGTTTTGAACATTAAAATAAGAGCTAGACCAATATCAAAATGTGGAAAAACAGGTTGGGAGATATGTCACGCAGACAAGAGAAAGAATATGAGAAGAGGTTTGGAAAGGCAGAGAAAGATGGTGAAGCTTGGTTTTCAAAGAACCATGTAGAGTGGAAGTTTTGAAGGAAGAACAAGTAAGAATAAACAGAGTTATGTGATCCAAGACACTGAACTTGGTGAACAGTCACAGAATACTAATTTTTAAAAAATATAATGACGTGTTATTGACTAGACACGAAGTTTGGATTTATAATTAGATTTATTGGATGCTTATAACTTATTACTACAAATATAGCCTTGATTACACTCTATAGATCACCATAAGTAAAGCACACATAAGGTATTCTGTCTTTTCACTAGTGATTGCTAGGTAGCAGTTGCTAACAATGCAACTCAAGACTGACTGGGTGGCTGGTCTGTTAAATTGCTGTTGGTCTTCATCAGTACAGTCATCCTGGACCAAATAGAAATGCCAATTCCAGTAATTTCTCTATCATTGCATGTTTATCCATTGCTGCGAAAACATATTTACTGAACTCTTGCCTAGCAATGGCCAACTCTTCTTGTTCCACTATTCTGGCTTTCAACCATCATATTACAGTATGTTCTGATATGTTCAGTTGGTTTGTTGTTTGTGTCTACCTGTGAGGCCAGCAACTTACCAGTAGCACTTATCTATCAGCCCTAAACTCCCAGCTACTGCTGTTGATTGGCTGGATTCTAGTGCCTCCGGGCATGGTCTGTATGGGCTTATCTGTCCACAGCATATTGAGCCAAAGGCATAGACTCCATTTCTGAGGTTGTGGCACCCATAAGACACATTATCTTACCTGAATAACGGGGTGAGCATGAAGATGTTGGTTGACAGAGGGATGGGAAGCTTATCATCAGCTCTGAACTATGGTGTGAGTCCTTGTGATCCTAACATGCCCCAAGATTTATCTGTGATAGAGGTAAACGTTTCGGTCTATAAACAGAAGATTTCTCGCAGATGTACCTGAGAACCAAATTCAGGACCCTCTAAATGACAGTCTAGTACCGTACATCCAAACATCAGGTCCCCTATTAACGACTACTGTTTGCATCATTCCGATGTTCCCATTCTCTATGTACACATGCCTCTTCATGTGTGTTCAAGCTCCATAATTCAAATTAATTAAAGCCCTGGTGCATTCAGATTATCTGATCATTCATATTACTGGATTTCCAATGAACAGTTCAAATTTTTTTTTAAGTTATTCAGTCAAAAGATTTATAGGCACATTTTGTATATAAATAAGGACAGGAATGCATTGACATTTGACTACATGCCAGGCTCAGAACAAGCGGTAACTGAGTTACGTCTTTCACCCCCTACACAGAGTCAGGTTCATAAGTATTGTGGAGTCGTTATTAATGTTCACCACACGCGCTTGCTATATGCCTATTCTCACAGTTCGTACCGCCGTGAGTGTGCCGACAGATTTCACTCCTCCGTAGTAGGCAGAGTCTTACAGCCGTCCAGCTGGCCTGTCTGGACGGTGACGTAACGATGCCTCGGCCAGTTGTTGGACTTGCGAAAGCTGCATTCGCTGCCTGGTCGCTGGAGACTTGCTGCTGCTGTTTCGGTTGCCTGGTCCCTGGAGGCTTGTGGCAACTACGTCAGTTGCCCGGTCGCAGTAAGGAGTTGATTCCTCTGTCTGGGCTGCTGTCTCGGGATGAACTGATTGCACCGTTGGCTCCCAGTCTTAAATACCGCTGGCCGGGAGGCAGAACTAAAGTTGCAGTTGTCACGGCGCATATCCATTGTCATGTACGGAAAGGCGGGGCCACAGGTGAAGTTATAAATATATGCAGCTAGTATATAAGTAGCTGGAGTGTGTATAAATTCTGCATCTCTTTGATCACAGGTGCCTGTTTGGCACTTTCTGAAAGGGGTGACGGTTGTCTGCCAGACGCTGTGGGAATGTTCCCACA